TTTTTTGTGTCTGTTACTACTTTTTCTCAGCTCTCACCGAACGGATTTCTTTCAACGATACGTCGAAAGATGACAAATCTAGTATCTAGTCGAAACATTACCCTTAAAATTGAAAAAATTTCCCTCGTTCCCCGTATATGGGGGAAACCTCCCAAAAAATTACAAATTTAAAAATCGCTAATTTTCGAAATTTTTTCAATTTTTTTTACTAAAAACTGCCGTAACTTTTTTAAAAATGAACATATCAATATAATTCTTTTTTATATAGATGCATAATATCATAACCTTTCATTTGGTTTTTTTTTTCATAAATTTAACCTTTAACCTGCCCACAAGGGGGGATTTAAAATGACAACTTTTTCACAACAAATTTACTTTTTCAACTTAACTTTTGAAAATGTTCCGGAAAGTCTGACACTTTTATATATATCTTAAATTAAAGCTAATGTAATATACTTTAATTTGAAAAAAAAAAATTTGACCTCTGGACTTGTCTTCACGGCGAAAATGGCTACCGAATGCTTTTTTCCTGTGAAAATTCTCGATTTCATTATTTATATTATATTTAACTTTATAATGCTATAACTTATTGAAAAGTTTATGGATCCACACAATTTTTTTATGAGAAATAATATTTTTTAATAAACCCTTTTTCATTCGACATATTTTATCTTAATCGAGATATTAATAAGGAACCAGTAGATCATGTAGCTTTTGGAATAATACACCAATTTTTTAAAATTAAACACTATCTAAAGATTTGCATCGAAGCGTTTATTTTTGATAGTGATTTTAATCACTGTCAGATATCATTATACTTGATCCAACTATGCCACGTCACCACTGTGCCGCGACCCCCCTGTGCTGGGTTTTTTNGTCACCACTGTGCCGCGACCCCCCTGTGCTAGGTTTTTTTTAATTTAAAATATCTAAAATGTTTCAATGTATTGTTTATTGAAAGTGTTATCCTTAAAATTGAGAAACTCATCATACTCATAAAGCACAATTAACTAAATAATGTAATCAGTGATGCAACTTAATTAGTTGTGGATAGTGTAAATATAAAAAAATTTCCACTCAATCAAATAAAATAAATTTATTTACAAAAATGAATTTGTATAAAAAAAAAAAAATAACAAGTTGTTTGAAAAGTCCCAAGACTAACGCATAAATAGCAACTTTAATAAATTATCGTTATGATTTTTAGTTAGAGCCAACCATCAAAAGAAACGTGTTAAAATTTCATGACATTTAAACAACGCATTCTTAAGTTACAGTCATTGAAGTGAATCTACTTTTGGTAATTGGTAAAGAATGGATAAAAACGAAGTTCTTACGTTGATTAAACACTGCTATTTAGTAGGAAAAAATACTGTGAAACCCCAGGGATGGCTTGAAAAGTTTTATAAGGACTCTGCTCCGACGAAAACAACTATATGTCAATGGTATTAAACGCGGTCGTAAAGACACAAATGATGCTGAATGCTCAGGAAATCCAAGTGAGGCAGTTATGCCAGAAAACATAAAAACAATCCACAAAATCGTGTTGGAAAATCGTAAAGTGAAAGTGCATCAGATAATTGACATTGTAAAGATCTCAATTGACCGTGTGCATCATATTTTACATGACCATTTGGATATGAAAGAGCTATGCTCGAAATGGGTGTTGTGTTTGTTAACAGTACACCAAAAATAACAATGTGTCGATGATTCACAAAGCTGTTTGGAGCTATTGAACAAGAATAAGAAAGAATTTTTACGTCAATATTTGACAATGGATGAAATTTGTATCCACCACTTAACTCCCGAATTGAAACAACAAGTAACTGAGTGGACTGAACCCGGTGAAAGTGCTCCAAAGCCGCCAAAAACGCAACAATTTAGCTGGCAAGGTATTTTGGTATATACATGGTATTATAGTCATGATCATCTCGAACATGGTAAAACAATCGATAGTGATTACTAAATTGCGTTATTGGAGCATTTGAAGGCTGAAATCGCGAGAAAAAAGACTGCATATGACGAAGAAAAAAATCCTGTTTCACCAAGATAATGCACCGCGTCACAAATTATTAAAAACGATGGCAAACATGCATGATTTGGGCTTTGAATTGCTGTCACTCTCAACGTATAATCCAGACCTCGCCCCCAGCAATTACTACTTTTTTGCAAATATCAAGCAAATGCTTCATGGAAAACTATTCAGCTTGAATGAAGAAGTCATCGCCAAAACTAAGACGTACTTTATGGTCAAAGATAAATCGTTCTATTTGAAAGACATAGAAATGTTAGAACATCGCTCGAATGAATGTAGTACTATAAAAAGGAAACTATGTCGATTAATAAAGTCAATTTTTGCGAGAAAAAAATGTGTTTTTATTTGTTAGTCCTGGGACTTTTCGAACAACCTGTTATACAAAATGATTGATTGATCATTGCTCAACAAAATTTTTTTTTAAATAATAATAATTTGAGAATATATTTTTAGCTTTGATACGAGTTGAAAAGGTATTAATTTTACTATGATGTTTTTTTTTTGTGTCTATTATCACTTTTTCTCAGCTCTCACCGAACCGATTTCTTTCAACAATACGTCAAAAGATCACAAATTGTATTTAGTCAGAGGATAATGTCTTCATCCTCAAAAATTGAAAAAATTTCCCTCGTTCCTCGTAAATAGAGTAGATCTCTAAAAAAAATTACAAATTTAAAAATCGCTAATTTTTGACATTTTTTCAATTTTTTTATTTAAAACTGTGCAAAAAGTGCAGACTTGTCTATTATTAGAGTAACACTAAGCGATGGTAAAAATATTATAGTAGCTTCAAGATATCTAACATATGAGGCCTCAGACCCAGGTAGGAACCTAACAATGGTCTTTAATTATTGTAAAAATAAAAAATTAGAACTCATATTAGTTATAAATGCTAATGCTCACCATACTAATTGGGGGAGCAGTAACATCAACCAAAGAGGCAATACTACAGCCAGACTGCATGCTCATCAATAATGATAATGAAACATTATCACATTTGCTGAACACAAACTTTCCTGGCTTTGAAATTAACAACAGAACAGTCACATGATACAGAGGACAAACGACTGACCAATGCTGATTGAAAACTAACCAGGAGAGTGATAACCCCAAGTGGAATAAGATAGGCAATAAAAGCCTTAGGCAGTTTCAAAGCTGCAGGCTATGATAAAATTTACCCTGCACTTCTGCAAGAAGGGTCAGAGCCAATGGTCCCCCATCTCGAACACTTCAGTGTGTAAACTGAATCAAGACAATTCAGTATGTGGTTTGTACAATGGACCACTTTGTATTGTACAAATCAATAGATCAGATTGCATGGGCATTATGTCCATCTCTTTAATAACTAAAACTAATATGGCTATGAAATATGGACCATCAATGGACAAAACAAGAAGAAGTTAGAAGCCATGGAAATGTGGACATGGAGAAGATTGTTGAAAGTCAGAAGGACAGAAATAAAAAGTAACATAGAAGTATTAAAACATGTAGGGAAAAAAATAATTCTGTTAAACATAATTAAAAAAAGAAATAGAAAATGATCACTTTCTTACTGAGACATGATCCATTTATGACAAATATAATTGAAAAACCAATAAACGGGATTAAAAGTTAGAAAGGCATATATGGAAGAAATTATAAGACAAACTAACTGTTATCAATACTTAGACATGAAAAGACTGGCTTTAAATAGAGATGAATGGAAAACCAGATTTACAACAATAAAACAAGACTTTTAGTAGGGAAGAATAAAAAGTAATCCAACTAAGATAATTACTAGTCGATAACAACTTTTGAATTAGAAGTTCAGGAATTATGAATATTTATATAATTGGGTGAGAGGAGTAGGGTGATGCTTAATAATAAAAATAATGTAATTCACACCTCAACTTCAGTCTATATTTAAAAATATTAATAATACCCAAAATACTGGTTCAAAAGTTGTTATTAACTAAGCATTTTCTTATTAATTAGATAAACTAATTAAATATGTAAATTGACATTTAAAAAAATTAAATTGTTATTCTTAGAGGAAACAAGAAATGTACTTTAAAAGTATTTAACCACTTAAAAATTGAGAGACATTAAAAATATTAAACAAAATCAAACATTTATTCAAAATAATAATTATTATTTTAGGAAAAATTTAGTATTCAACAGTAAATTAATCACCTTATATATGTATTCATACCTTTTAACACAAATATTTAGCATATCATATGGCATAGTTTCAGCAGCTTGAGCACAAAATTCAGATATTCTGGAATCTTTTATGTTAAGTTCGTCAAATAGCTGTGTCATTAAAAATATTATTTTATTATATTTTTAAATTTATTATCATTATTAAAATTAATTATTACTGTGGCTCCGCCAAAATTACTGTTTCCTTGTCGTTCATTCATAGCATGTCTTCGATTTACTTGAATACGATCTTTAACTGAAGGTAATAAAATTTCTAAAGTAGCTCTAGCTGCATCTAATTTTGCTTGTTTTTTGCTAGATCCAATTCCAACACCATATTGCATGCCATCCAAAATAACAGTAGCTAAATAAGGGTATCTAGCATTTTCTAATATTAAAATAATATTTTATAAGTAAAGTACAATTTAAATAATTAAATTTTAAATTTATAAATGATAAAGTCTTAGATAAAATTAATTTTAAAACTTCATAAAAATATTTAATTTAAACATTTAATAAGGATAAGTATGTTTTAAATGGAAATTTATTAACTTAGAACATAAAAAATTATTTAAAATTTCAAATTGTAAAAATTAATTTTAATTATAGAACACAACATATTTTTCCTAAAATATTTTTCTGCACTACTTAGATATCAAACAAAAATAATAAAAAAACATAGTTATTATGTTTGATAGAGTCATATTTTTTAATTGATACTAAGGATTAATAATAATATTAATAAGATAAAAAAAAAAACAATTTAAAACTAATTTTAAAAAAATTATTTACAAAAGATGACTCTTAACCTCTCTCAAACTCAAAATACTATAATTCAATATTCTGTATATTACTACTAAGATCAACNATTTACAAAAGATGACTCTTAACCTCTCTCAAACTCAAAATACTATAATTCAATATTCTGTATATTACTACTAAGATCAACTCTAAAATTGTCAAATTTAAATTTTAATGATGAATAGACTTTAAATATTAGAGGAAATAATGACAGTTAAGGCATAATTACCAAGCTCTTTGAACTCATACGATGGCTGTGTTTTCAAAACTCTTTGAATATATTCATGTAAAATGCTAACATAACTTTTACCATTTAAATTGATAATCCAATGTTCATCAGATTTAGGTGAATTTTTATCTTGATGTAATATAATTAAGTAAAAAAAAATAGCATTATCTTTAAATAAACTATACTTATAATAATTTACCAATAGAGTTTTGAATAGGGAATGAAATGAGTTGTGATTTATCTTTTAGTTTTGGTAAATCTTTTCGTCTCCGATCAGCTTTAATCATACGAATATACTCACGGCGTTTATCCCAAGAACTAAAATAAAATGGATCTATTAAAGAATTTTAACTGAAAACTATTTGATCTAAAATTACCTAAAACGCATGAATTTAATGTTTTTAAATCGAAAAACATTTTTACAATATTCTCTATATTTTTCATGACTTAATGTTGTAGGATAATCTTGAAAAAATTTAATCATTTAATAAAAGTAAAATCGAGTTTTATAAAATAAAACTTACCATTATGTAAACCACTATTACCACAATCATCAGACATCTTTTTTAATCTTTCCTTGTAGTCTAAACAGGGTACATTTAATATGGGAACTTCATGATTCTATAAATTATGATTTTTCATAGGTTAAATAAGTTATATGTTATTCAACTTTGTAACAAATAAAAGGATCATTTGGGGTGTGCAAGGTATAAAATTCTGTTATAAATATTTAGCCACTAAAACCTTAAATGATTCCCCTACTACCAGTACCTCTTATGTTCTAAGCCCTTAGGTAGGACCTTCTTTGATATCTATGTGTACAAACAATTTTTTTTTAATATTACTATAACTATTTGAAGAATGATATGAAAATTGAAATTTTTGAAATATTCTCAAATATTAGTAAACAGTTGTCATAAAATAGATTTACTATCTAAAATACTAGCCTTACAATACTAAGGTTTTCTCATATGTATTCAAACTTGTGGTCTATACTATAGAAATAAAATGCATATTTGATAATATGAAACTAGATTATTTTGATCAATTGTCATAATTAAAGTAAATAAAATATATATTTTTTATAATTATAAAATTTCATATTTTAGAGCTAATACATATACATTTTTTTATAAAACTATTCTATGTGTTTACTTTGAGGCTATGAACACCTAGAAAATATGGTCTTGAAAAAGTGCAAACTCTAGTTTCTTCATGTAAGTAAACTGGCATACCACTATCATGATCATATTTTTTCCAACCTTCTGGTAAATCTTCATAGTTACATGAATTATAATCTATTTCTAAAAAAATAAATAATTGTTATTATTTAAAAGTAAATTTTTGATCATGATTTATTATCCAGATAAAGGACCTCAATCCACAATTGAATTGACTGTTTTTTTTTATTCTACTCAACCCAACCAAAATTTATAGGAGCTTTTTATGTGTCAAAATGTGCTTCATAATTATATTTAACTATTATTTTTGTTTAAACATGATTAAAATATTTGTTGGTTTTAAAAATCATACACTTCCTAGAAATTCTTTTTTTTCTTCATAAATAAGTACAGCATTAATCTTGTGTATCTTGAAATATTTCTTATCCATAAAAAAAATCTTTATAATAAATATACAATGTATATACATGTTATGAAACTTTATATAGGAGAGAATATGACTGAGAAATTGATTATTGATACATGTCTACTATTAATTTTTTTCAAATTGAACCAAATACTATCTTGAAACAAGATTTACCAACAAAGAAAAATCTGAAACCCTGTACTGAAAAAATCATGTAAGTCCAAACTCCATTTTTTTTAATAAAAAAGTCCTATCAATTTTTTTATAAACTTCAACATTTCAGAAATTATTATATCTATGAGTATTTTTCAAAAAAATTTAATTTAAATAACATTAAAAGTTCACAGAAAATTAAAAATAATTAATGAAGTCTCCTGTAAAATTAAATTCTTGTAACAAGTGTGATTTTTAAAATAACAGATTCATAACAACTGTAGACTATCACCCAAGATATGTATTATTCAATTTTTAACCAAATTTTCCTTAACACAAATAAGCTGGATAATAAAGGTAAGTTTTATGTAATATATGATGTCAAAGTTTTTTGATTGTTTTTTTTTTAAGAAATCGCCTACTATAAAAAAAAGGTTTGACATCCTTAACAAAGTTTTTCATTATTTACCATCTAAAATGAATGTTTCATTATCTTCATCAATACTACTAGAATCCTTTTTATTAATTTGTTTTTCTTTAATTGATTTTTCCTAAAACAAAATATACTATAATAATTCAAACAATAATATTTTTTTTGTATACCATTTTTCATAGGAATCAATCAATCTTAATACTTATTTTAGCTAATTAGTGTTGGCATTAGATATTTCTGGTTTTTTTTTTTTGCTCTTTACCTATATTTACAAGTTATTGGGTTGGGTTAAGTTTAGTTTGTTTATGTTGGATATTATCTATATGTCTGAAACATTATTAAGTATGGGGCTTCAAGCTAGTGCATTGGTGATATCGGCCTTCTCCTGGTCATGAATGCAACTAGTACGGTTTCTGCAGCACTCTCCAGCTTTAAAATAACACCCCCAAATCAAAAATTAGTACCCCTTTCCTAATTCAATAAAATACTTCTTTTGTCAGTAGTTGGTAATAAACAATTTTTTTTCTGTACAATTCAATGTATGTTTGTAGTTATTTTTATAATTAAAAATACAATAATAAGACAAACCAAAAAGTTATGTAAATATAATGGTTAAATTTTTAAGCTTTTCCATCTAGCAACTATTACTTAAATAATAACTTGCTCAATTTCAATATTAAATATTTAGTAGACTTTTAAGTTACAAATTAATTTAGCCAAATATTATATCCAAACATAATATAAAAAAAAGAAAAGAAAACATCATGATACAAGTAGTTTACAACAATAGATAAAAAAAGAGTTCTAACTTCAATGTTGTGATCAATTTAATACTTTATACATTAAGATAAGTCAAAAATTTATTAAGGAATTAAATTTCAGACTTTATTCTTATATGATGTGGATAGTAATATTCTAGGTAGTTTGTCACTTGTATACATTCAAATTTTTAATTCAGTTGTTTGTGTTATTCAATATTTTGTTAATGTTTTTTATTATGATAATATGTTTTAATGTTGTGAACTCTTAGTCAAAAAACACTAAAACAAAACATATCAATGACCTTATATAAGTTTTATACGATAATGGGTTTATCAAAGGAACCCACTTAACATGTAGTTTAAGATATTACTAAGTTAAACAGATGAGAGAAAACATAACATGAAACTAATAAGACCAACAGTAGCAGAATAACTCAAAACCAGAAAATAGTACTGAAAACATTACCCTCAGATATACTTCCAGGTAGCTCACTTTAATCATTATCTAACCCAACTCAATTTTTAATTACACAACTTCAAAAGGTACTACATAACTGCTTAAAATATTATTTTAGTTAATTAAACTCTGACAGTTCTAATTCAGAAGTTAATAGCAAAATTTACAAATTTTTATCATTTTATAATAACTTGAGATTCCACATTTTTAAAATACAATAGGTAATAGAATTTTACCAAATCCATAGGTGAATAAAAAGAATATTTACTGTTTGGATTATAATTACAAAAAAAGTATTCTGTAGTTGAATTTAATTTGGTTCGAGAATTAGAATATAAAGTAAAATGTAAACAACTCATGAATACAAAGTAATACTTAATTACCTCTATGAAATTAGAATTGATAATTACACATTCTTCAACTTTATTAATTTCTTGACTCTCCTCTACTGATTCATCAGACATTTTTACAAATGCTTTAAGATTTTAAGTATGTTTATTTAAGATAAAGAACTACTTTAATAATTTAAATATAATATTATGAATTCCTTGTCAAAAATTCTTTATATTAATAAAAGAAAAATCATTAATAAATTCAATTTAGTAAATTTACTATAAACTTTATAAAACATATATATTATGAATAAAAATTTTTATAAATAATATAGAGTACAGATGGATAAACTATTTTTTATGATAATTTTATATTAATTTCAATTCACTAAAACTTAATACTAATAATTTAGTCCGGAATTTTTGATCATTGGTAATTTACTTAAATATTTTCTCCTAAGTCATATCATTCAAGTGTTTACTTTTTCAAATATAAAAATATGATTACAATTTACTGGTATTCAACCTCTTTGAGACTGTTTAAAACATTAAACAAAGGTTAGCTCTATAGTTATTTATACTCCTTGTACAGCGACAGTTTAACGAATGATAAGAGGGGTTTCTCACAAGCACACGCTAATGGTATGAGGTATGAGCTTCGTTTATACATTCTTTAAAATAGCGTGGTGTCCCAGTTTTCTTTTAATCGGAAATTTTTTTCTGAGATTACAGCCCAGTACTTAATAAGTATTGGTAAGTAGCCAATGGCCCATCAATATTTGGACCAAACTTCTGCTATATTAAAAGACGATAAAGGTTACTACGTTCCAGCTACTCAGCGTCCTGACGGTACTTGGCGTAAAGAACGACGACTGAAGGAAAACTATATTCCTCAAGACGAAGTTGCGCTATACGAATCCAAAGGAAAGAAATTTGCTTCTAACAAGCCTAAACTTCCACCCGGTGTACCAATACCATCTGATTCTTCAAACAAACAGCGATCCAATAAAAACGTTTTAACAGAAAAACAGCAACCCAAACAAGAAAAAGTCAATATGCCGGTTGCTGTGGTACAAAAACAAAAAGAACAAACCAAGCCCGAGAAAAAACCTGATGAAGAACCAGGAACAGACCCTGTAAAAAGAGTGAGAAACTTGAAAAAAAAATTAAAAAACATAGAAGAGTTGGAGGTTAAAGTTGTAGAAGGAGCTTCTATTGATAGTGATCAACGAAAAAAAATAGCTAAGAAAAACTTAGTTATAAAAGAAATTGCTACTTTGGAAGCAGTAATTAAGTAAGCATAATATAAGACGTGTGATTGCAAATAATGTTTTAATGTTCTTTAAATATGAAATTTTATTAGGTTTGAATTTATTAGTACAAGTATTTTAATATAATAATTTGAATTATTTAATTGATTCTTATTTTTATCGAGGAAAATACTTGATCTGTTACCATTAAAATAAGTTTATATTACTTGAAGTATAGAAATAAATTTAAACTAAAATATATATTTTAATAGTAACATTACTTATAAAGAAAAAAGAAAATTGTTATTTATATAATGTTATATCAAAAACAAAATCTTCAGATATTTAAAATATTTTAAATAAATTTTTTCATACGACACAAGAATGTTCAGGAAGTTCTATTTAAGTCTATTTTATATAAATATTATTGACTGATTTTTCAAAGTTACTAATCGTTTAAATATTACTATAAAATTTATTTGTATGACTTTTAAAGGCAGAATATTTTAAAAATATAGTTAACTCAAATCTACAAAATCTATGCTTCTGTACTAGAAGTGAACTTGTAATCATTTTATTTTTTATAATAATTATTAGAGTTTAAGACTTCGTGTATTTAAACAGAATGAATCACAAAAGTATGACAAATCAAATAATTTTTAACTAATAATCATTTTGCTGGAATTTTTTTATGAATATTGCCTTCTTAGATTTTGTTTAAAGCATATTTTTAATGATCTATCACTTATAAGAAAAACAATTTTTTAATCCCATAAAAGCTATTATTTAGCCCTTTTCTTAGAAAAAATTTGATGTATAGATTACAAATTTAGAATAAGTGGCAGATTTACAGAGAGCTAAGGGTTTTGGACTCTTTTTAAACACCAATATGTTTACATTATTTAATATATAAGGCAAGACTGATACCTATTCAAAGTAAATTTTATTCTTTAAGACCACCCATTAAGAAAAATTTAAAAAATCTGTCACTGTACTTATCAAATACAAGCATTTTAATACATTAATAGTTATGTAGTATGGATGGGAGCAGTCTGTACTAGTGTAGTATACTCTGCTCACATATTATACCCACTCTATGTATTTAAATATTTGTATTTTGATAAGTACTAGTCCATAAATTGTTATTGACCCATCAACATTTTTTTATAAAAAATGGCTATTTTAAAAAATTGTTGTATTTTTTACTTATTAAATATAAATAAGAAACATTATAACTAGAACGTCTAAGTAAGATAATTGTTAAAAAAAGAAAAATTTTAAACAAGTGATAATAAAATCACAAGTTCTTAGATTTGTTATATCTTTGTGACTTGCCCTGTGTAGTTTATTGTAGTCATTCTGAGTACATTAATGACTAATAGGTATTTTTGTTTGTTTTTCTTAACACTTATCAATGTATATTAATTAACAATTTAGTTATGGGGATATATGAGAGATCACTTCTCTCCTAGAATATAATATTTTCTTATGGTACTGTATACAGAGTGTTCAGTAAGTAAGAAAACAGGTAAATTGTTATGATAACAATAAAAATCTTTTTAACTTACTGACCCCCTCTATATACATTCTGTATGTATGATAAATTTTCATGGTGTCTCAAACAATTTTTATAAATGAATAAAGTTCCAAATTAAAGTAATTAAGATTAATAAACTCATTAAAAATATCAATGCTCTAAGGTAAAGATATATAATATCAAATAATTGTTATTTTTTATTTATTTAAGAGTTTTTAAATTCTTTAATAGAACAAAAAAATTTAAAACTATTAAATTACCAATTTACTTCTTGAACGATGATGACTTTATATTCATGTTATAATTTTATATGTTTTAATGTCATATAATTTTTTTAGACTTCTTTATCCTGAACCTCTTAAAGAAGCTAAAAAAGACAATAAGAAGGATAAAAAAAGTAATCAGAAGGATGCCAAAAAACAACAACCTGTTAAAGAAGTTAAAAAAGAAACTAAAGCAAATAAGGCGAATGATAACAAATCTGTACCAACATTGGCCAACACTAATCAGGCTAAAAAATCTGATAAAAAGCCTGTTCCAGTTCAGCAGAATACTAATGCAACAACCAAAAAGACTGAGAAGAATGTTAAAGCTGAGGTTAAACCTAAAGGAAAGCCTGCTCCTGCTCCTGTTGTTGAGATTTCAGTCGAAGCAGCTAAAAGAATAAGAAACTTAAAAAAAAAATTGAAAACAATTGATGAACTAGAACTTAAAGTTGCCCAAGGACTAAAAATTGATAATGACCAGAGAAAGAAAATAGCAAAAAAAGCTGAAGTATTAGCTGAAATCCGCACTCTTGAAAGTGGCAAGTAATAGCTTGAATAATATAAAAGTATTAAAGAGATTTATCATTTATTGTCTGTTGATATTTATGAATAAAACAATATTAAATTGATTTCAAACCAAGAATGTAATATTATTGTTTTGAACTTGAAAAGTATTTACTTTTAATCAGTGTTTATTCTTTTTTTCAAGTATGTTCATCAAAATTATCATGATTGGCTTGTATCAATTAAATAAAATTTACGTTTCATAATTACTAGTAATTTTTATTATTTATACATTTACTAATTAGAAGTGTAACAGAATTTCTTTAATAACTAATGTAAATGTGTTATATCAAAAAAATGTGTTTTCGAGTCAAAAACACAAGTTATTTTCAAATTTCAATTCATAATATATATTTTTTGGTTCTAATGGGTTAATAATATCTGAACTCATTGCACATTTGACAATTTTTTTCTGTTTTTAGGTACTAAATATAAACTATAAATATTTTAGTATTTTGCTTTATATTGGCTTCCCATGAAGTGTTTTTATATTTTGAACTTAATTAATAATTTCAAGAGTTAATTAATAATTTGAAAGTGTTAAACTTCATACTATATAGGATTAACAGGATCAGTTACACTATCAATAGAAAATAATAATATAAAAAAAAGTAGTTAATTTTTAAACTCTCGTGATGTTTAAATATTTTCTATTTCAGCCTCAATTTCCTACTAAAGAGACTCAGTAATTTTTTTGAGATAGTTGTAAAGATTGATAATCATAAATTAAGTACTTTTTATATTCACCCCTTACGTCTTGTAACAGAAGCAATTCTTTTTTTTTATAGAACACATTAAAGAATTCTCTTACCATATCAGTGATATTATTTCGGTCATGACCTCCGTTTTAGAGGTAAATGAAATGGAATAAAAGATGCCTAGTGCTCGTTTTATCCATGTAATATAGTATCACTTTTAAATTATTGGTAAAATGAACTGGACACAAGGCCTTAATAGGCGATTCAATTTTATTACATATTTCCATAGAGTGTGCGTAGTAGTGAAGTAATAGCGCCATCTACTTTTAGCTTCGATGCGAAGATGAGAAGGTATTGGTTTTACTATGATGTGTTTTTTTTTTTATTTTATTTTTTTTTTTGTGTCTGTTACCACTTTTTCTCAGCTCTCACCGAACGGATTTCTTTCAACGATACGTCAAAAGATCACAAATTGTATCTAGTCGAAGACATTTCCCTCAAAAATTGAAAAAAATGCCCTCGTTCCCCGTAAATGGGGGAAACCTCCCAAAAAATTACAAATTTAAAAATTGCTAATTTTTTCAATTTTTTTTACTAAAAACTGCCGTAACTTTTTCAAAAATCAACATATCAATATAATTTTTTTTTTTTTATAGATGCTTGATGTCTTTACTTATCATTTGGTATATTTTTTTTGTAAATTTGACCTTTTTGCTGCCCACAGGGGGGGATTTAAAATGACAACTTTTTCACAAAAAATTAACTTTTTCAACTTAACTTTTAAAAATGTTCCGGAAGGTCTGACACTTTTATATATATCTTAAATTAAAGCTAATGTAATGTACTTTATTATGCAAAAAAAAAATTCAGACTTTATTTTGTCTTCATGGTGAAAATGGCTACCGAATGCTTTTTTCGTGTGAAAATTCTCGATTTTATTATTTATATTATATTTAACTTTATAATGCAACTTTTTGAAAAATGTATGGATCATTACAATTTTTTTATGAGAAGTAGTATTTATATAGATCTTTCATTCGACATACTGTTTTTTTAAATCGGACCATTNTCCTTTTTCATTCGACATACTTTATCTTAATCAGAATATTAATAAGGAACCAGCAGATCAAGTAGCTTTTGGAATAATCCACCAATTTTTTAAAATTAAACACTATCTAAAGATTTTGCATCGAAGCGTTTATTTTTGATAGTGATTTTAATCACTGTCAGATATCATTATACTTGATCCAACTATGCCACGTCACCACTGTGCCGCGACCCCCCTGTGCTGGGTTTTTTTTTATATGTACTTTTACGATTACTCATACAATTTTGTACTTTGAAAACATATTCGCCATTAGAGCTCACTGGTGGCGGAATATTTCCCTTCTACGTAATTTCAATAGCAAAATCTCATCGCATTTCACATTCACGCTGACCTTAACGGTTCATTTTATGTTAATTCATGACTTACACACTATAGAAGATATTAATTTGTCAATTCTTATGTATAAGTATTGAAAATATTATTTCTCTTCGTTTAGTTTGCCATTAGAAGTGGTTATATGATGGGGATGACACACTGGCGACGCGCAGTTCTTGTATTTATATATCAATGGGAAACATACATAATTAATGTTCAATTAATTAATAGAATATTTAATAATAATATGTCTACAATAATTTGTAATATAAGGGTTACAACTTATATACTTGTACAACGGAAAATGGTCACTTAGCTAAAGAAAACAATATCTTACCTAGTACTACGCTTACAGCTATATAGAGTGTTCAGTGACTAAGGAAACGGGTTTCTATTGTTCTCATTGTTTATAACAATTCACCTGTTTCCTTACTTACTGAACATCTGTTTTGTGTGAACTATCACACCTGTATATTAATTGTGTTCTTTTAACCTTTGTACTATTCTAAGAAATGTAAACATACGTTCTTAAACTACACTGGTAGCCGGGTTCCCACGACTGGTGAACTTGCCAAATATTCGTCACTTGTAGTTCACTGGTGTAACTTGGCATTTGATCCAGTCGTAAAGCCGGTCCCGCACGGCTCGTGTGCTTTACAAATATTCGTCAATCGTTGTGCTTCACGAGTCGTGTAGGATGTGCATAATAGTACACGGGAAAAAAAATCTGGTAGAGATAACCAGAATTTGGTAAATTTAACAAAAAATTCTGTTGACTCAGTGACAGCAGTAATCTTTGTTATCGTTACAAAACGAATTTTGTTGTCTGCATTTTGTTACGGCAACAAAAAATGTATAAAAGTAGCAAACAAATATTATATATTATCTACTAATTTTTGGTGTTCACAATAAAAATCATTGTTTGTTGCTAACAAAACGATTTGTTAAAAACATTTTAGTATTACAAAACGTTTTGTTGTCGCAACCATTGTGTTAGTTGAGGGCGAATCATTTTTGTGGAATTTACATAGCTGTACTTTCACAGTTACCAAATGTTCCGTTATTTTTACTATACTCTTGCTATAGGTATATGATCTCGTATGATAACGATAATAATTTTATTTTTTCGATTTACCAAATTCATTAATCAAATAAAATTTGTTGTTGTCTAATATAGAAATGGTAACCGAAGTAACTAAATGATGACATTATATGATATGATATTCAATTTTTTTATTTCATTAAGACACATTTTACAAAATATTTATAAAAAATATACAAATGTAATCAATACAACTAAATACGATTTTATATATTTCAAATTTAATTTTATTCAATATTTTTTATTAATTTAACAAATATTAATAATATTTCTGAAAATTACATAGAGATTATTAGAAAAATATATATAAAATCATTAAGAATAAATATCTTACGAACTAGTTTGACAAATTATTATTAATATTAATATTAATGCAGCCTTATAAAAATACAAATAATATCTCAGTAAAGTATACATATAATAAAAAAAAAACCAATGCAATAAAATAGTGATATCTACATAAGTGGCAACTTAAGAAAGTTAATAAAAACACCTTTATATTAAAGGAAACAAATAATAAAATGAGTGAAATTTATACAAGATTTCAACAAATAATCATAATGAATAATTAATACAATTAGTTATTATTTACAAGGGGCTTCTTAAAGTTATGTACCTAGTACCATTTGACACTACATTTAAGCTATTTGGTATAGGGCTAAAAAGAAAGTCATGATACACAAAGCAAATATCGTCTACTATTGGTACAACTACTTCATAACAAAAAACATGTTCATCAAAATCTAATGTTTTTAAAACCTTACACTCAAATATTACACGATCAGTTCCAAACAGAAATATATCATTTATAGTAGCAAATTTTGGCAAATTATCATCCAAGATATCTAGTGTCAGGACACTATTCACTTTATAGCGAGTTCCTTTAACTTCAATCCAACTCATTCGCATTAGAGATTCTGCTTTTATTAAAAGTTTCAATTTATTTTGAACTTGATCACATTTTATAGGATCCAAATACTTTTTAGGGCCCACCAAAATTTTATTTGACAATTTACCCCTCATAAAAATTTCATTTAAAGTAAGTTGGTGTCTGTCTGCTAGTGTTATAAAGCATGACGATAATTTTTACTCGCCGAGTCAGTCGTTGTTTTCCAACAGTTGTCGGTAAATGCAATACAAGTTAAAGGACTTGAAAAAAAAACATGACATGTCATTGCTTGCCACTCCTTAACATATATTTTAATTACTTTAAACATTTTATTATTTGATGTCCCGTTTTTATTTATGGTGGATGTGCACATTGTATTTTTTTCTTTTTTTTAAGTATTTTATAAGAGTATTAAATATATTTTAATATTTAGGTCCTAAATATTAAAAATAAACATTTTTGACTACATCTACTGGTACTTATTTTATTAAAAAATGGAATGGTCAAACGAAATAACCTTAGAATTTTTAGCGTTCATTGAAAAGGAATCATTAATATGGAACCTAAAATATCCCTTACACAAAAATCAAAGTGCCGTTAATGATGCGTGGAACAGAATTAAAGATCAAATAAGCGTCGAGTATTCTGTAACTGGAATGAAAAAAATAAAGGATTCTCTTATGGCGACTTATCGACCTTTATCACATAAAATTAAGGATATTATGAGAACAGGTCTCTGGATAATTGATGTATGTAAACCTAACTGTTGAATTTATAAATTCTATTTGTTTTATTACACGGACCGTCCGTTACTGACGAGAAATTCCAAATAATTCCAGGCTATACTGTACAATAACTACCGACGTACATGCTATTGCCCGTCCGACTTCCTGAAATATGTCGTGCGCTCAAATAACATAAAGTGTAATTTACACGTACTTATACAGACATATAATTAAGCGTTTAGCCTCATCTACAAATTAACGTAATTAATTAATAATACTAATAAACCCATTTTCTCACATGATGTTTTACTTTAACAATTTAAAAAAAAGTGTTATACTTTTTTAGGTCGTAACTGATAAAGAAATTAT